CTACCTGGCCTGGACTCTTATACCTGGCTTGAGCTGGCTTATAACTGGCTTGAGATGGGTTACAATTACACCATATTGCAAGGTATTTGTTAAACTAGCGATTCCTTGTAATTCCTAGTTCCATACTTAACTAGATTAATTAGGACTACTATATATATATTACTAGCAGTCTATTGCATCATTAGCTAGTTTCTCATTTCTCACTTGTAAAACGAAGGTGTAAAAATTATAAAATTATTGATCTCAGATCAAACTACATATATATATATATATATATATATATATATATATATATATATATATATATATATATATATATATATATATATATATATATATATATATATATATATATATATATATATATATATATATCGGGTGAAATTATCGGAATCACTACTGATATCGGAAAAAATGATTAAGAATTTGTAAATTTATCGACGTGAAATAATGTTATCGTATTTGAAGTTTCTTATATATTGAGACAGGTGTTGGGAGGCCATTATTACGTGTTAGCTCAGGTAATATGGGTGATTTTTCGTGAATGGGTTAAGTGGCGCGAAACTTTCTATTCCATTTTATATTTTTCCCCATTCCATCTTGTATATTTCCCCATTCCATATGTTTCCCTATTCCAACTAGTATATTTCCCTATTCCATCTAGTACGTTTCTCCATTCCATATATTTCCCTATTCCCTATTAACTCAATATATTACACTATATGATATAACACAGGTGCTAGTACAGGTGTGAACACAGGTGCTAGTACAGGTGTGGACCATTGCTACGCGTTGATGTCCTATATAATAGCTGTAGCTTTTCCATACATAGGAGTTTATTGGGACTGGAGTGTCATTTTGCCATGGCTGTATTGGGGTGGGGTAGGGGGGTAATTACAGGTGTGTGTGTGTGTGTGTGTGTGTATGTGTGTATGTGTGTGTGTGTGTGTGTGTGTGTGTGTGTGTGTGTGTGAGTGTGAGCCACGTCACTGTCTATTAACGCTTCGCGTAAAAATAAAAGCCATTGACTCGTACAAGAAATAAAGGTTAATTAACGTAATTAACCTCACACCTGAGAAAAAAGGAGTGACGTAATACGGACACTGATCAAATGATGTTAACTTTATCCACGTCTACTCACATCATGTGCGTGTTTCTGTTCTTTTCTCGTCCGTGATATAACAGTAGGGTTAGCATACTTAAACCTCAGACCATAAAACCACACATCACCACACATCAGTACAGTCACCACACATCACCACACATCAGTACAGTCACCACACATCAGTACAGTCACCACACATCACCACACATCACGTTTTCGTTTTCCCTCCATCCAACTGCGCCGCTCACACCTGTCTTTCACTCACCCCAACACCTGTACACCCCCACACCTGTACACCCCCACACCCCCAACATCCACACACCTCACACCACCCACACACCCCTAAGGAGCTGGTCCCCACCTGCGTTACTCCCCCACATCCTGCCCCACAGATACAACATCACCCTTCCCCACACCCAGCATCCCCCTCCCCACACATCCCCCCCTCCCCACACACAGCATCACCCTTCCCCATACCCAGCATCCCCCTCCCCACACACAACACCCCTCCCCACACACAACATCCCCCCTCCCCACACCCAGCATCCCCACCCCCTTCCCACACCTAGGAGTAGCAGCTGCGACCACAGTCCTTCCCTCGTCAAGGTAGAGGCGGCGGCTAGGAATCCGAAGGAGGCGTAGCTGAGGATTAGGTTCCAACCAGTTGCTGAAACTAGAGGCGAGCGTGATCTAGGGAATGTCCTACCTTCTACTGCTACTGCTGCTGTTGTTGCTACTTCTGCTACTGCTGCTGTTGTTGCTGTTGCTACTTCTGCTACTACTGCTGCTGCTGCTGTTGTCGTTACTGTTATCATTGTTCCGTTATTCTCTCTACTCTTGCTCTTATTATTACCGTTACCTTTGCCTCTGTTGCCATAAAAGTTATTGTCAATAAGAACAGCAACAAGTAAACAGTTAGGAGAGGAATGAACACTAGTAACAGAATCATGACAACAGAAGCAGGGGATATATTAACAGGAACAACAACAGAAAGTAATGAAACAGCAACATAAACAATAGTTGCATCAGAATAAACAGATATATATATAACAGTAACTTGATGTGAGCACTAATGGATAAAAACAGAAACAACTACAACAACAACAACAACAACAATAACATTCACCACCACCAACAACAACAACACAAACAACAACAACCACCACCAACCACCACCAACAACAATAACAACAACAACAATAACAACAACAATAGGCAGCGTGACGGAGCCGGTCGTGAGAGAAACCACTTTGTGACAGTCTTCTTCCTCACTTCCCTCCCTCACTTCCCTCCCTCACTTCCCTCCCTCACTCTCCCTCACCTTTCTTCCTCACTTCCCTTCCTTACCTCCCTTCTTCCCTCACCTCTATCCCTCTCTCCCTCATCTCACTCCATCCCTCACCCCCGTTTTTCACCTCCATCTCCAACACCTCCCTGACCTTTCTCCCTCCCTGACCTTTCTCCCTCCCTGACCTTCCTCCCTCCTTGACCTTCCTCGTTCCTTCATTTTTCTTACCGTGAATACATACACAGGTAATTCTGAAGGCCAATTGGAGGATAAAGGGAGGGAGGCACGTGCCTAATTATCCCCCACCTCACCTCCCTCTCCACCCCTACCCTCCCCCCACTCGTCCCTCTCCTGAATTCACTGTCTCTTCTTCCCCCCCTTAAAGTACTACATCTTACTTGATAAATGTGTTTTTGCACCGTAATTAAACTCTGATGTGTGTGTGTGTGTGTGTGTGTGTGTGTGTGTGTGTGTGTGCGCGCGCGTGTGTGTGTGTGTGTGTGCACCCACTTGAAAAGAACTTTCTTGTAATCGTTCATAACATAGCAATTGGAATGACCATAGCTTATCAATAGGAGGGGTGGGCAGTGCAGGGCAGGGGGCAGGGTAGGACAGGGCAGGGTGTATATTCGACCACTTGGCGGACTTTGACGTCACTGCGGTTCAAGTGTCGCATGTCTTAACCGCAAGTTAATCCCAGGCTCCGTGCGGTCACCAAACATTCACTCTACATAGCTTGGTTACTCCTGTCTCACCTTCCAGAGAATTTTTTTTGGTTTTAACTTTTTATTGTCATTTTATCTACTTATCCCAATATTGTTTATTCCTTGCTGTCTAGGTTAGCTTAGGTTAGCTTAGGTTAGGCTAGGTTAGCTTAGGTTAGGCTAGGGTAGAAAACACTATTAAATTCTCACATAGAGGATTAAATTAACTTACGGACCTTTGAGAAATCTGAATAAGTGTTCTGCTGTGTTGTGTTGTGTCGTGTCGTGTTGTGTTGCATTGTGCTCTCCAGTGTCGTGTCGTGTTGTGTTGTGACGTGACGTTAGTTGGTGGTTGTGGTTGTGGCCGTCACCAGCCCTGCGTGACGGCTGGTGACGTACACCCCAGTTACTCTCCTACTGACTGACAGCTCGAAGGAAAATCTTATAACCTGAGAATATTAAAGAAATATAAAAATAGTGATATGCAAATTCACAAGAACAACAACAACAACAATAACAAAAACAACAATAACAACACTAATAATAATAATAATAATAATAATAATAATAATAATAATAATAATAATAATAATACAAGGTTACTGAACTCTGAGGGATTAAATAACTTATCATAATTTCTTACCCTTTCCTTCATCAAGTAATTTAAATACTCTAACATTAACTAACTCTTTCACAAATACAAGATAATACAACATACAAAATATACATTATACAAAATACATGACAAAATTCTACTATACAATTCCAACCTCGAGTCTTGGTTAAAATCAATACAGAAAATAGCTTAGTGGATCAGGAAGTTGGGTCGGGTTGGGTCAGGTCGGGTTGGATTTGAGTCGGGTCGGGTTTGGTCGGGTTGGGTTGGATTTGGGTCGGGTTTGGTCGTGTCGGGTTGGGTCGGGTTTGGTCGGGTCGGGTTTGGTCGTGTTTTGTCGTGACGGGTTCAGGTTTGGTTGTGTTGGGTCGGGTCAGGCCAGGTCAGGTCAGGTCAGATAAAGTTCCCTCTATCCAGGTCTTGAGAAGATTGGCACCTGGGGCCCTCGTGTATCCCTGGCACCCACCCCTTATGACCTTGCCTGACCTGACCCGTCACGAAGGGGGAGGTCAACAGATGAAAGCCCGTGCCGTCCCGCCCCCCCGCTGCTCCTAATAATTGCTCTCGACCCCAAATTAGGCGGTGTAGGGTGTCATTTGTTTACGCTGGCACTCTAGCGGAGAACCGGGACAACTCCTTCTCTCTCTCTCTCTCTCTCTCTCTCTCTCTCTCTCTCTCTCTACCACCATATTCCTCCGTCTGAGATGAAAACATTGGGTAAACAAGACAACACATTGGTCAACATCTGCAACACAATTGTTAACAAACCGTTGTAAACAATATGAGACACTTGATGCTTGTGGCTAGTTGACCCTAGTGGCCAGTTGACCCTAGTGGCTAGTTGATGCTAGTGGCCAGTTGATGCTAGTGGCCAGTTGATGCTAGTGGCCAGTTGACCCTAGTGGCTAGTTGATGCTAGTGGCCAGTTGACCCTAGTGGCCAGTTGACGCTAGTGGCCAGATGGTGTGATGGATGGTAACTCTCCCACCCCCCTGGCCACAGACTCGTAAGGGGGAAACTTGACCTCGAAGTGAATTAGCTAAAATTTTAACACCAAAAATAACTTACCTAACCTGACCTGACCTGACTTGACCTCACCTAATTTTATTGTTATTAGGCCAAGGGGGGAGGGGGAGGGGGGGGCTCTATATATGAACCCCATTTAACGGATTATAGAGATAATTCCGTTATAAAGAGGGTTTCATTAACGAATTATAGAGAGATAAGTCCGTTATAGAGAGGGTTTCACTATACATCACTAACCATTCCTCTTCTCGTTCTCAACAGGTATGGTTTCAGAACAAAAGGAGTAAGGAAAGGCGTATGAAACAGCTCTCTAGTATGGGCATGCGGGCACACCTCTTCGCTAATCCTCGTAAGCTCCGTGACCTGCCCTTGGGTATGGACGATGGGTATGGCTTCTTCCCTGGGTATAATGGCTTCCCAGGGCAACAGTTCCCAGGTTACTTCGGCCCCCAGCAGCCTATGGGATACCCTCACAGTTAGTATTTGTGCTGTTCGTCTTAATCTTCTTCGCCGTCTTATTCCTCCTCTTCTTCGTCTTCTTCCTCTTCCTCATTTTTCTCTTCTTCCTCTCCTTTATCTTCTAATCCTTCTTCTCCTTATTTCCCTTCTCACCTCTCTCTCCTTCTCCTCATCCTCTTCTTCCTAATTCTCATCTCATCTTTTTCCTCCTCCTCCTCCTCCTCTTCCTGCTCCACCTCCTTCCCTAATATTGTTAAATCATTGTACTCAAAGGGGTTAAATCATTGTACTCATTGAGCTAATTCACTGTACTCATAAGGTTGGTAATGTACTCAACGGGGTTCAGATTATATCACTGTCTTGCCTCAAGTCTCTGTAGAAGTGTTTTAACCATGTCCGTGTGTCCGGCTACAGTGGGTCCCGGCATGGAGCAGCCTCTACCTCCTGGCGGACCCATGGGAGGAGCAGAGTTCCCCGGGATGCCGCCCATGGCCACCATGATGGGCGAGGCCTTCCCCCCACACCCACCCATGACCTCTCCCTCAGAAGACGTCTCTGTACACGGAGGTGAGTTATAGCCTCTTCTTCGCCTTCTGCTGCGTGTGTGTCTCTCTCTCTCTCTCTCTCTCTCTCTCTCTCTCTCTCTCTCTCTCTCTCTCTCTCTCTCTCTCTCTCTCTCTCTCTCTCTCTCTCTCTCATACACGCCACACTTCTTTAATATATATCTACACAACAACAACAATAATAATAATAATAATAATAATAATAATAACAATAATGATAATGATGATGTAATAGGATTAGTTAATGTTAAGATATATATATAAAGTAGCGTTTATTTCTTTTGATAACATTGTTTACTGAGTATCGCCTTATCTTGCCCCCAACAGGACCAGGGGGGTTTAGTGACCACCAGAGCTCGGAGATCCTGGCGTGGTAACCTCCATGTCCTCTCATCCCACCCCCCTCCCCCCCTCTCCCCCCTCTCCACCGTCGCCCTGCGCACAACCCGACACACCAAAGATGCCACTGCGCACCTCCTCGATGACGTCACGCGCACCAGCTGACGTCATTTGAGTTTCTTCGTAAGAAAAACAAAAATGACTAAAAACAAACACTGATTGTCCATCCCTGTGTTTTTCTTCAGTGTAAGGATTATATAGGTGTAAATTAATTTGTTTTGGCGTGAAATATTACAACAAAAATAAACAATATTTTTCTCAGAGGACAAACCAGATGAAGCCATGAAAATATCTTTAAAAAATATTTTAAAAAATCCTAAAAAAAAAAAATATGATAAAGATAAGAGAATTAAATGTCGTCCATAGCTGTCAATACAGACCTTATTTGTAAAGGAGGGAAGATCGATGGTTGAATTGCTACACTTAGTAATCATAATGACTCATTTTTGTATATTCGCTTTGCATTCAACCATAGTTCTTAAGGGATGGGAACTGTGAACCCATTGGTAAACAAACAAACCGATAGACATAACGTGTTCATGACGTGTGCAGGACATGTTTGGACACTATGTTTCTAGATACAGCTCTCGACACACACACACACACACACACACACACACACACTCACACACACACACACACACACACACAGGGCTGTACTCTATCGTCCGAGTCCATTCTGGAGTAAGTCAACCAGTGTATGTTTATGAACTTTCCCAGGTACTCAGCAAATAGGTACTCAATGAATAGATACTCAGTAAATAAGTAATCAGTGAATAGATATTGAGTAAATATGAACTCAGTAAATTAGTACTAGGTAAATATGCATTCAGTGAATTGTACTCAATGAATAATACTTGGTAAATTGGTACTCCATGAATAAGTACTCAGTAAAATGGTACTCATGGGTAATTATGTACTGTCGTATCTACAGGTAAATATTACCTTAGAGATTCACAAAGTGTCTAATTAAGAGAGTTAGTCACCTGTACGTTGAGAATTTCTAATTGGTTATATTTACGTCTACGAATATCTTATAAATTGACACTTCCTCCCCCCTCACCCACCCTTACATAATGTATGGGAAGTACTTATGTAATTGTTGGCTTAAGGGAAATAATGTGAGGGGGGGGTAGTAGTCTTGGAGGAAAGTACCTTAATTGTTATCTGAGGGAAGTACCATGAGGGGTTAGAATTTTTTTTAGAGGGAAGTACCTCAGAGGGGAATAGTGGAACGAATGGTACTCCCAGAGGTAATAGTAAGTAGGATAGTACACACAGAGGGAAGTAGTATGAAGCGTAAGTACTCGTAAGATTGAAATATCAAGTGAATAGTACTTTGAAAAATAATTATTAAGAGACCTGATCGTAATTAATGTCAATCTTATGAGAAAATACACTGAAAACATTAACATTTCAAGATGGTAAGTACTTAAACCTTCCCAACTACTTACCCCATTTAGAGGAAAGTCTTAAACTCATGAGAAAGTACACATTAAATTAAGTAAGGGTACAGTAGAATACAGTAGAGTACAGTACTTATAAGCATAGTTACCTGCCTGTCCGATACAATACATGACCTTACACACGTGGAATTCAAAGACATACAGAATTATGTATTTGTAGAATTCAATGGGTTTTTTGTTTTTTCTCCACGTTTTGTATATTTTTGTGGAAAGCGTTCGTCTACCTGCGATGGATTCACATTCCTGCTATATTTTGTCGTATGTTTAAGGTAAGGAACTCTTTGCCAGGTTCGTGTACATATCTGTATAGTATCTGTTGAGAATGCACAGCCAAATCTCCTTTTGTGTAGATAGGTCTGAAAAAATTACCATCACGTTGTAGTTATGTTTATTATCCATTGTACTTATTATTGTCTTCTTTTATCCGTCTTGCTTAGTAGTTTTTATTTTATTCATTTTTTTTCTTCACTTTACTTAAAAAAAAAAAGTGAAAAATGTGAACCTACTTTTCATGTCGTCTCGGGGTGGCGCTTTATATAGTAACAGCCGCGAACTGTAAGGATAACTAACCTATCATATAAGGTGCTTTACCTGACTGACAGTGTGACGTATCTATGCCGTCATCCGTGAACAATGCCCTCCTCTCACCAACACAGACAGATGACGTTATGTAGAGGCTGAGACTAGGATGGTTTCGTTAATCACACTTTTAACATGTTATTTTTTCATCCGGGATAACAATAGCTATGAACAGTTGACCTTGTATATAATTTTTTAAATGTAATGTTCAGTGCTTAATTAATGCCTACCACAAGGACACCAGCCGCCGTTAACACCTGCTGCCTCCCGTCCTTCTTCTGCAGATTTAAGGACATCAGGCATCCTTCTGCAGGTTTTGTAGGTCTGTTTATAAGTCTCAAGGATCCGTAGAACCTTCTTCAGGTTACGCTATGTTCCTCTGCAGTAGTGAAAGAGGAGGAGGAGGGCGGTGAAATAGAGAAAGAGACAGACAGACAGACAGAGAGACGGTGGCAGCGGTGATGTTGACGGCTGGTGTAGAGGAACAGCTGGTCCCGGGCGCAGTGTCCCCACCCTCTCCCTGCAGAAGGCCGCGCTGGAGTGGCAACAGAAGCTCCCAGGAATAACTGTGTGTGTGTGTTCTGACTGTTTTTCTCATTGTATATGTAAATCTGTGATATTGATTACTTGTTATAAATTCCAGTGACCATTTTGTAATAAAACTAACGAAAGTAAATCTGGTGGTTGTTCTTTTATTTCTACGACTCTTAAATTAATCTACGACTCTCAACATGGGTTTACAAAGGGAAAATCTTGTCTAACAAATCTGCTAACGTTTTTTAGGAAAGTCTTCGAGGTAGTAGATAATGACGAAAATTACGATGTTATTTACTTAGACTTTAGCAAAGCATTTGACAGAGTACCGCATCAGAGGCTTCTGATAAAAATTAAGGCTCATGGTATCGAGGGGAAAGTTTTAAATTGGATAAAATCATATGGCTCACCGATAGAACGCAGAGGGTCAGCGTAGATGGTGTTAAATCTGAGTGGGGCCGTGTAACCAGTGGGGTTCCCCAGGGGTCAGTACTAGGCCCACTCTTGTTCATAATCTACATAAACGATCTAGATACTGGGATCAGCAGTGACATAAGCAAGTTTGCGGATGACACCAAAATAGGGCGGCAAATTAATTCAGGGCAGGATGCAAATGCATTACAGGAGGATCTAAATAAACTGCAGGGGTGGTCTGAAAAATGGCAAATGAAATTCAACACCAGCAAGTGCAGCGTACTTAATATTGGAAGAACAAATACTTATAATGTATACAGCCTTAACAACATCAACCTAGAGAAGTCGACTTGTGAAAGAGACCTAGGGGTACTTGTAAGCCCGGACCTACGGCCTAGAAAACAGTGCGTTAATGTTCGAAATAAGGCAAACAGAGTATTGGTTTTATATCTAGAAGTGTAAGTAACAAGAGTGCAGAGGTCTTATTGCAACTATATCTTGCGCTAGTCAGGCCGCACCTCGATTATGCGGTTCAGTTCTGGTGCCCCTTATTATAGAATGGATATAAATTCACTAGAGTCGGTGCAGCGAAGAATGACAAAAATGATTCCGGGACTTAGAAACCTTCCATATCAGGATAGGTTAAAGAAACTTAACTTGCATTCCCTAGAAAGACGAAGAGTGCGGGGAGATATGATAGAAGTATTTAAGTGGGTGAAAGGAATTAATAAAGGGGATATAGATAAAGTTCTTATAATATCCGAGCAGGATAGGACTCGGAGCAACGGATTCAAGTTGGATAAGTTTAGGTTTAGGAGGGAGATAGGAAGGAACTGGTTCACAAATAGGATGGTGGACGAGTGGAACAAGCTTAGCAACTTTGTAGTAAGTGCTGGAACGCTGGAAAGTTTCAAAAGGAGGCTAGATAGATTCATGGATGATAGAGAGTGGTAGTAACTCTCGACAGGAGCTGCCATGCACAGGCCAACCGGCCTATTGCAGATTCCTTATTTTCTTATGTTCTTATGATACGTCCTCTTGTCCTTGTCCTTGTTTATTAAGGATACGGCCTCTTGTCTGGATGGTGTGGAGGTCCCAGGAGTAGTCTTCTCATTACCTGACCTCTGGTGTTTACTGTACTCACCTGTAACAACCCACCTGAAGAAGCCAAACCTCACGAGACTTAATTAATTCGACGTATGGAACCAACAGGTACAGGAAAAACTACACGCATAGATTATATTAATATATATAATAAGTTAAATTGTAAAAGAAAATCAAAGATAATAATCAACAATAATGTTTTTTAGATTAATAAAAACTATATTTAACTTGTAACTCTGTCTTATAATTCAGATATTAATTAGAGGTTATTACACATACCTGGATGAACACCCGTCTTATATATAACACAAGTGAACTACGAGACATAACGTGAAGGTAATACTGGAGATAATCGTCTCGTTGTGGTCAGCATAAGTGAATGTAAAAACACCAAAAGTATGTAAGTTTATGAAGTGTATTTACTCACAGGTAAAAAACAAGACACAGTGTGTAAGTAAGTCTACGGGTGTAAATATTCACAGAAGACAATAACAAAATATACATTAAAAGTTAGATTAAATGTTTTCACAGCTCATCAACAAGAACTAATTACACAGATCAACACAATGAGTGTTTAAAATCCTTCTGGGAGAGACAATAGGGAAAGGAAATTAATTCGTGCACTAGAATGCTTGTATTTGTGTTAATTAGCTCCTAATATACCTGTACTATAAGGTTTGGTTAGGTGTTTATTAACATTTGACGGGGGAACACACAAGCTTGACGGAACAGATAGTCTTCGATACATAAGAGGACAGACTGGAACGGCATACGATCGCTTCCTCTACCCAATCTATCAAGTTCAGGCACCCATTCTCAGCTGGGTGGAGTAGAGGCGGGGGGGTTCCCGGTCAAGTAGCAACTACCTTAGACCTGGAAACGAGCATTGTATCATCTCGGTCACCGCACACCATACATACCTCATGTGAGATATTAATGTCTAAATAAATGAAACGTATATTAACATCATAATACTTATCTGCCCGGTAAAGTCAATCGTAGTTTAGGGTGTTCCTCGCTCCTGCCGCCTCGACCTGTTGTACCGTGTAGCAATTATTGAGAGCAAAGTCAGATACACGTTCTTCTGCCTTCTGCCGCCACAGGCCAACGGGGGCTTACGGTATCAGGTCTTAGTACAACTATTTCACAGCCAACATTGTCCAGCGTCGAGGCGTCAAGGAAGTGAACAAGCACACACATACCCTTAGTAAATCCTTCCCTCTTCCTGGTGACTGGCTCCCGCCCTCATTATGCACTGTGTCGTGTCCCTCTCACCACACGCTCCCTCGGGGTAATGACGTGTAATTTGTATGTAGTGACCTGAGTGTAGCTGTGAGTTGGTTTATGTGTTAGTCTTCCCCTCCCTCAACACGTTACTACCATCTGTGTCACCCCACCACCACCACCTGCCAGCCTCGCGTCACCCCACTACCACCACGCAACCTTGTGTCACCATGACTCTTGCTATGGCAGAGTTTCAAGTCATTATAAAAGGAGGGAAACTCTGGATGATGAAGAATATAATGAATAAGTGAGTTAATGTTAATAACTTGAGACGCTACGCACACACACACACACACACAAAGGTAAACATACATACAACTTAGCAAGAATAAACCCCCTTATTTACCTAAGACACATCGAGACGTGTCAGCATATACTGGGGACCGACTCAGCCAAACCTTCATTGAATCTAACACAACAGCTAAAGCATCACAAATAATACTGATCCGTTTAAGGGGTCATATCAGGTGTGTGTGTGTGTGTGTGTGTGTGTGTCATCATTGGAACCCCTGAAGTGAAACACGTACAAGGAATGAGTTGTGTTGAAGAGTCTGATCCATTTACCTGGTGTGAAGCCTCAAGGTAATTCACTTAATTTCACCGCTGAAGAAACTCATTAAAGACGAGACAGTTAACATAAAATATATATTATATTCTCCCGTGTAACAAATTATGTATTTATCCAATATAAAATCCAACCGGAATTAAAATAGATTCATCTTTCACTCAAAATTGTCATATTTCGAGATAAACTTTTAATGAACAGATAAATCAGAAGCTTCAATGGTTCATTAAATATTAAAACGTATTGACTTTCACCAATGAAGTATTAGAATAGACAATAAAGATTAGTTTTACCCACAATAATATGTAAACATGAAGTAGAAAAAGTCGTATTTGTAAACAGTGGTATTTGTTCCTGGCTCTAGTAATCATTATGCTTTAAGATTATTGGTGTGTACAATATCGGGATTATGACTTCGGTTGCAAAAATGTTTATAATTATGATATTGTAATCGTGTTGTAATCGTATTGTAATCGTCTAAAATCGTTCCCTTGATAAAATATTTTTGTTGTTTTTTGTCGTCCTGGTTTATAGTGTAGCTTGTAAGGGATTTTGTCCAGGTTTATGATAGTTTATTAAGGATTTTGTCCAGGTTTTTAGTTAGCTTATAAGGGATCTTGTTCAGTCTTATACTCATTTAAAAGATATTACGTTCATGCATACACTCGCTGATCAGAATTTTGTCCAATCCCTTATACTGCATATATTTTGTCCAATTCTACACCTATGTAAAAAAAAACTTTTGTCCAATTTTACATCTACATAAAAAAAAAAACATTTGCTCCAACATTGTACCTTTACATAGGCGATTGGATACTAACCAAATGAAACTTTTAAACCAATCACTATAACCAATCACAAGAAGCAACCCAAGCACCCAACCAATCAGCAACTTTCATTATGGTTTAGATTAAGAGAGTATGTACCCGATACAGCGATTCACAAGCTGTTTCGATTCACGCCTCTCACACTTACTCACACCAATTCACTAGTTGTTGATACCTTAGTGCTGAGACAACATGGCAAGTGCTACATAGTGATACAAAGTGATACAGGAAAGTTAAAAAAAAACAGACACGTATGCTTTTGTTTTGGTAAATCATGTATAGAGACGAAGGAAAATATTTGTGAATTAACGAGTCTTAAGTGTTGACAGTCACCTCTCTGAAGCGTATTGGCTGTGTGTACGTTTTTCCTTATGGGAATTTTTGGGGAACTAAACTACTGAGAGGTGAAGGATGATACGTGATGATACTTGGTGATACTTGATGATACTTGGTGATACTTGATGATACTTGGTGATACTTGATGATACTTGGTGATACGTGATGATACTTAATGATACTTGGTGATACGTGATGATACTTGGTGATACGTGATGATACTTGATGATACTTGATGATACTTAATGATACTTGGTGATACGTGATGATACTTGGTGATACGTGATGATACTTGGTGATACTTGATGATACTTAATAATACTTGGTGATACATGATGATACTTGATGATACGTGATGATACTTGGTGATACTTAATGATACTTGATGATACGTGGTGATACTAGGTGATACATGGAGAGGACTGGGACCCATTTGAACACCGACTACAGTATACTTAAAACAAAGCAGACTTTTTAAATTACATGTTGTGGGTTTTTTTCCGGGTGTTGCTACAGGGATTTATAGCCTTATGTAATTCCGGGTTATACTGACGCTGTAATCCTCCGTTACGACAGGAAAGGATTTAGAGAATGTCCTCCCTTGGTCAGCAT